GATATGTGCTTTCTCCTTTGTAAATGATCATTCTTCAATATACAGAATGTTTTCCAAATTAATCTAAATTATTTCACATACCCTTACTGATTCTTGGAACACGAACAATCAAGTTCTGCAATCCACAGCTATCCAATTATCCAGCCTCCAATGAAAATCCACATAGGGAACAAGAATGAGAGAAAATTAAGGTTTCTGTTTTCTTGCGATAGCAAGATAATGAATTGGGTTATGTTCAATTTTTCTGAAACCCTAATAACTTATTAATATAAGTCTAAGTGGGCTTCACCCGTCTCTTGAACTTAACTTGATTCAATATTTAATTAATCTAATTAATTAAATTTGGTTCATGAATTAATTAATCCAATTAATTAATTCGGACTTATTAACAAGCAACTCAATTAATGAATTGTACAACACTGTTTATTAATTAATTGGAATCTCATTCTTCTAGCTCTCCTTTTGTGTGTGACACATCAAGTTTCCGATCACGGTGCCTAACGACGTGAATTAATATTTTGATCTAATCAAAATCGATAAATTAAAATATCCCTTTTAATTTATTATCAATTCACATTCGTCGTTCCAGGTTGACATTTATCAATGTGTCAGGGCAATACATATGACGTGAAATGTCATGTGGTATGACAAAATACCGTGAAACTACAATCATTTCGTCAATATGATCCGATCAATTACGAGATATAGACATGTGTCAATCTTAATTATCGATCATATCTTTCATCCCACTATTAAGTCAATGTAAGTCCAAAACTCATTTTCAATTTATGAGTACACATTGGCCAAAGATCTCATTATTAACTTAATTGAATGAAATGTAGATCATAATATCTTACTATCTAAAAGTAACTAATCATCTATTGATCATTCACAACCTTCATATGATTTTTGACATACCTGAACAATACCGTATTAGCGATCCTCGGCAGAGAAACATCCAACATCACCAAAATATGACTGTCCTCATATAAGACACTATGATAACCTCAAATCAAATGACAAATTCCACTACCGAACGTTAGAAATTAACCACTGACACTCAGATAGTTATCCACGTGGAATCTCCCCAGCGGATTTTCAATGTTTTGTCCTATAACAAAACATCCACGTGTTCATTTAAGTGTTACCACACTTTAACTTGTAAAATCAGCTACTTACTTAACAAGTAAGAAATGCCACACTAGAGAATCTTTTCATCTTTTACGTATAAAGAAAACTTACTTATATTGCTTCCTGTAATGAAATCATATAATTTCAATAAGGTAGTTTCCCGAGTGAAAAATAAAAATGAAGTCTTAGAAAGATTTATAAAAAGACTAATACAAATCTTATGCACGTTATATTTAATATAACTTCAATGTATCTTCAAAGATTCATGTTTCTTGGCTGTCCTCTCCTGGTACGGTAAATAAATTAGACTATGGACAAATTACAAACCAAATGTTATCATTATAGGAATCTTTGGTTGTTGGAACTACATCAACATGCCAAACAATTTTTATCTTTTGACAAGTATTTGACGAAGTTGTTTTCAATTTCATTCATTGAATCAACTACTTTTTCCACTCCTTCAAATGGTTAATTTAAGCATCAATGCTCTTGTAGAGAGCCTTATTATCGTTGTACTCATTGTTGAAACTAAATTTTACAAGAAAGAACTGCAATAATATGTCAACTTTTGGAAAATCTATAATTCACTCATGATGACTCTAATAGAACTCGCTTGCTAAGTAGTTATTTATGTTTGCGTCTGGGTGACTGAGGGTTGTGATGATTTTTTTAAAGGATTTGATTTTCTGCTAATGTGAATGTTATTCTTTTGATGGAAAATTATATTATGACTAAAGTTGATTGGTATATTTATGTAATTTTGAGATTCTTATTGCATAATAATGTGCAAAGTGTCAGTTAACCACCTGGAATGGGCAGATATGTATCTCAAATTGCTAATTCTTGTGATTTCTCCTAGATCTAATAACCTTTCCTTCTTTAAGTGTTTTATCTCCATTTTATAAATTCTAGTTTTTTGCCCGTGTAATGCACGGGTTGTGTTGTTTTGAAGGTAATGTTAGCGTGTTTGGTGTGAAGAATTAATGATATATATATTTTTATCAATAAATGTAAACTATATTTATCAAAAATCATATACAAGCACACCGAGCATATACGGGCAAACAAAGATCAAGTATGTATACAAGTGAGAGAGAAGTATACTTCGATTCAGTGGAAGTTGGGTAGATGATATGTTTTGCTCATGAGTTTGTCATAATAGCCACTACAGTAAAACTTTTTCATTTTTAAATATCTACCATTTGATTTCATAACAAGAAACATCTTATTTTGCTTCTTTTTGTTAATGAGAAGAATTTAAAGTTGTGATTGATGCCCAAAGAATAAAGGAGGAGTTTTCTAGAATGGGAGTCTAAGACAAAAATGACCATTATAGGTTGTGGTTGTTGCGCTTGGAAACAACTAGGCTGATGAATGAGGCAATGAGAAGCTAACACATGATTCTCCACTCTTTTTCAATTATGTTCTCTCTTTTGGGTCAGACATTCTGTCTTTCTACTTCTTGAATGCATGCATGTTTTCACCGAAATGGACAAGGATTCATAGACAAAACACAATGAGGCAAAGTTTACGACAGATTGCACATTAGAGATATTAGTCCTATAGTATAATTTAGAGAGCAAATAAAATCTAGATAAAATGAAAGAATCACTTAGAATAATCGTCTAAGACATTTACAAGGTAAGCATTCTATGATTTTTAAAAAGTGCTTAATGATTGATTATTTATGCAGTTGGTAGTAGTTCGACGGGGATCGACCTGCCCTGTCAGGTTGCGGGGGTCGAGATTTGTAAACAATTGTAAGGTTTTATAATTTTTATTAATGTTTTTGAATTAAATTATTAATAAGTGAAATTGTATGTAGTTTGTGTAAAATGTAAGCAAATGGAATCGCCTAAATTTAAAAATAAGTGTTTGTAAATTTGGCCAATATTATTTATAGAAATTTATCGTTTGCATAGTAAAAAAAAAGGTCGGAATGCTCCGCACAGTGCGGTGCGGAGCTACCGTGTGGAGAATCTCCTCCGCAGTGTGCAGAGCAACTCTGCACAATGCGGAGCAATGCGCCTCACTGTCCAGAGTTGACGCTATGCACGCCGTGCGGAGCATTACTCCGTGCGGAGCTGAGCAATAGCTCCGCACAGTGCGGAGTGATCTCTGCACAGCGTGAGGAGACCTGCTCCGTATTATGCACGCACGGAGGTGCTATCTCCTTGCTGCACGAAGATAGCACTGAGGTTCTCCGTGCTGCACGGACACGATGTGTAGAAATTTTTTTTTTCCTTTCTTCGTTCTTCTTCAATTTCCTGATATGTGACAAACGTAAGATTGCATTATGATAATTTAGAATTGAAACACACCTTTTTAGGGTCTGAAAGTACTACATATGCCTTCCCAATCATTTTGAAGAGCTTGTCTGCATCTTTATGTACCTGTTCTGCTATTTGTTTCCAAAGCACATCATCTCCATTTTTCTTTTCTAGGCAAGGACTGACCAGTTTGTTTCAATGGAAATTTTATTAATTAATTTAGCTATTTACAATAATCAAATTATCAAACGTAAACAAAAGTAGCAGGAAGAAATGCTACATAACAGATCTTCAGTTTAGATTTCACACACTACAAATTGGAGCCGGAGATGATGAAGTATAGAGGAATGTGAAAATGATTGTCGCGATTTGTGAGAGAGTTATTACAAGAAAGAATCACTGCAATACCTTATATATGGATGCAACAAACATGATATTTTATAATCGATTATACATGGAACAAATAGGATATTTTATAGTCGGTTGTACTATAGACAAACCCAATTGTACTTTAGAAAAACCAGTTACAATGTGAAAACTCACGTGACAAAAATAAACAATGAATTTAGGATCCCCTATTTTAAGTGATAGAACCACTCAAAACTATTGTAGTTCAAACAACTGTTGTTTTTATTTATGATTCAAGTTTGTAGTCTCATTGTCTTTATGACCTTGATTTATGTTCAAATTAATTGCATTTCCTATTACAGATGTGCTAGATCATTCATCTTTGTTTTTAGATTGGGTTTCCTTTTCTCTATACTTTTGCATTTCCATTATTCTAACTTTCATAGACTTTGAAGCCCAGTGAAGAGTCAAAAGAAATTATAGTGTGCAAAGCAGGGAGCCAAACAAGGTTTAAGGCATTAAAACATGGGAGCCGGATTGTTGGGAGAATAACCATCATAGTTATAGTATTAGCATACTTTCAACCTTTGCAAAATTGCCAAGGTTTGTTTAACATAGTTTATAGCTCTGGTTATTATTGTTGGCATTACGTCTTTGTTGAATCAATTGTTTGTTATCCAAATGTTGCCATAATGTTCCTAAAATTACAATAATCATAAAACCACTAAACTTTTTCCTGTTTATCTACTACCAGGCTGAAGATTTCTATCAACTGAGACTTACCAAAAGATGAGGTTGCATGGATTGATATGTCATGCCATTTGGAAATTGCAGATACTCTAATTGTGATTATCACTTCGTCACCACTTTCTTTATGATCTCTTTTTTGAACAAGCATGCCTCCCGGACTTACTTCCCATATGATCTTGCCACCAGTGACTTCACATCCCTTTACGATGGCTCCATCAACACTGTTGATTTCTCCACCCTTAGCAATGTTAGAGTTGCTTTTGAATAACCTCTTCAAACTTAAGTTGATCATTTTCACTCTTTCTATTGTATCGCTCCCTTATAACTCTAGCAAGAAGGGGAAGAGGAGATGTTGGACTTAGTTACACATATAATAGGATAGAAATTGGATAAGGACAAAATTTAATTTTATATTAATTAACTTCTAACAAAGTAAATAATATAGTAAAGGGCCTTTATGATTGTGACACATTTAGCAATGAGATCTCAGAGAAGATGGAGGAATTATATTGACAAATTAGTTTTGGATATTGTGTGTTAGATTCCATTGGTACTTTCAGGTTTAACCTTCCTTCTGCATTTCTTTGTGAATTACTTGAACTCTTGTGATACGCAGGATGCACGTGAAAACATTTACACAACCAATCATTGTGTCAGTACACTTGCCATTATGATGATTAGCTTCAACTTCATATACTCTGACTTTCATGTACATTGTCATAATTTTCTCAAATGTTACTTTTGTATATTGCTAAATTATTATCCAATTTATGATGCTTTCAATATAATCAATTTTGTTAAAATAAAATGTATGGAACTGATATCCCCTTATTGGTTCTTTATTTCAAGACATTCGATTCATTTTTATGATCTTTTTGACTCTTTTCAATCATGTATAAGTCAATTATCTGTATCTCAAAGATGGAAGTTATAGAAATAAGCAGGGACTTTGGTTAATAATTTTTTAGAAAATATAAGAGACAAAAATTCCAAATCTCAACTGAACTTTTGTGTCCTTTAACTTTCGGCAAATTCTCTTGATAGTTTGGTTGATCTGTTATAAACTTTACATATAGTGACATTTATTTCTCTCTATTATTGTTATTTTTCATATAGTGAGACTGCAAAAGGTTCTAGGAAGCCATCTACTCTGTATTATTTGATATGAATGTTCCAGCTGTTTGTGCCATCAATCAGGTAGTCTATTCGTAAGTTTCTCAATAAGCTCTGGTGGAATCATTGCAGTAGCACTTTAAAAGATAAAAATTGAATTGTATCCAGATAAAGAATAACTCAATCTTTTAAATTACGAATATATGACCAAGAAAATATCCATATTTGCTGGAACCCGATCATGAGTGATATTAATATGTCATATGTGGCATATCTCCTTCACAGAAATATCCCTCAATGAGCTGGTTCTTATATTTGCCTATTCCTGTATAAGTTTGTGTTGTCCTAACCTTAGTCAATAACTGATAATTATTTTAAATTGTTCACAAAGATTTGGCTTAAGAATTGTGAGCCTGTAGGTACACACTATGATTTTGAGGCCGGGAAACGATTTCTATAAGTGCTGCACAATTAGCTTGATTGCATGAAAAATTCAAAACCAATATCCTTGGGAGTTTTCGAAATTTTACGAGCAAATTATTATGGAATATAACCATTATTAGTGCATAAGTGCAAAAGATAGGACTTCAAAGTTCAACCTCCTACCATTTAAAATAAATGTAAATTTGATCAATTGTCCTTGTGCCTGCTCCAACTGTTGAGAGGAAGCCCCAAACTCATGTCTCTCGTCCCGTAACAAGGTACCCCCCCTCTCATCTACACACATACATTGGTTCTTTGGATTTGTGCATGTAGGACTCAACTGAACTAATAAAAGGCACAACACGCAACAATCAACGCATTTAGAAACCTCATGCCACAAAGTACTTGTATTTTTTGGTTTGAACAAAAATATAATTATCCTCTCTCTCACTCTCTCCTTTTGGTTATTACCACCAAGTGGTAAAATAGCACATGTACAACATGAATTGAGATAACGCATTTCACGTGCACGCACACACACCAAAAAAAAATGAATAACAGAGTGAATGAATACATTCACCATTTGTGCAAAATGATGCACATGTATAATATGAATTGAGAGATGTATTGCACTAGCGAGCATACAATGAACAACAGAGTGAATGACTAGATTCACCATTTGTGCAAAATGATGTCAATAGCATACTTTAAAAAATACGAAGACTAAAATTGTTAAGATTTGCTCGGATCACAGTAACTTATCTTTGGAAATAATCTTCACTATCTTTAAAGTATATCTTTATGAATTTGTAATCCCTTCATATAAGGGAATTGATTGAGATTTTATTTGATTTCCTTTGTTGATTATGATCGTGATTCACCCATGTAAAGTGTATATATATTGCAGTTTATTGACTGCAAAAGTGTGGAATAAAATTATACAGCTTTATACAGCAAAAGTGTGGAATATTAATTTAATATGGTATTAGAGCGATGATCTCTTTGCTTCTGTAAATTTTTGCCTACTCTGATCATGTCTACCTCCACAATTGATCCCGCAAATCCTTTATTTATTCATCCTTCTAATCATCCCAGCATGATTCTTATTCTAAAAGTATTGGATGAAACAAATTATGCCATATGGAAAAGATCAATGCTGATAAGCCTTAATGCTAAAAACAAATTGAGATTTATCAATTAAACCATTCACATCCTAGAAGTAAAAGATTCAAAATACCCTCTATGGCAACGCTGTAATGATATGTGCTATCTTGGATATTCAATTCTCCAAGTCTAGAGCTAACAAAATTGTTCTATATGCTGAGACACTTTTAGAAGTTTGGACGGATCTTCAAGAACATTTCTCTCAAGGTGACTTTTCTCATCATTATCAAACTAAAGATCCATTGTTGAATTGAAACAAGACCAGGAATCATTTTTTTCTTATTACACAGACGAAAATGATGTGGGATGAACTTACCACCTGCAGGCCCTCAATCAGCTACACCTGTGGAGCACAAAAAGATTTAAAAGACAGAGAAGAAAGAATTCGACTTGGACAATTCCTTATGGGATTAAATGAAACATACTCTACTATTTGAGGACAAATCATGCTCATGCAACCTCTACCAACTGTAAAAAAGGTGTATTCACTTTTATGTGAAGAAGAAAAGTAGCGAGGTTTCATTGAAACAAAGAGCAGTGATCTCATTCATGCCATGAATATCAATACTTATCACAAGCATGAATATCAATACTTATCACAACTCCAAGGAAACACAATATACTGCTGCATGCCAACAGAAACAATGGTCACCCTCTCATTCCAAGTCACAAAGGGATCGAAAACCTCAATTTTGTTCTTACTGTGAAGGAACTACCCATACCGTGGATCATTGCCACTATTTGAATGGTTTTCCGGTTGGTCATAAACTTCATGGTAAAAATATTCAACGACCAAATCGTAACAGAAAACTTGCTGCTCACCAAGCAAGTACTCAGATCAATTACGACTTCCACAAGGCCTCCACAAATGTCACTCCTCAGTTCACTCTTGGAGAGCTTGCTCAAATCAAAGCCTTCTTCAATGGTAAAAATTCTACTCAAGCAAATTGTACAGGTATCTCTGTTCCTTTCTGTTCTTCCTTTATTGCACAAAAGACAACCTTGAATCATTGGATTATTGATAGTGGCGCCACTAATCACATAGTCACATCAGTTTCCATTACCTCTCCTCTCCCTTCCCAAGTAACCTTTCCTAATGGTGCCCATTCTGAAATAACTGGCATTGGTTCTACACAAATTTCAGATCACATACATGTTAAAAACATTCTCTGTACTCCTTCCTTCCATGTAAATTTCCTGTCAGTTAGTCAACTAACAACTACCATGAATTGTTCAATTCACTTCTATCCTACCTTTTGTGTATTGCGGACCTAACTTCAAAGAAGATGATTGGTTTGGGGAAGCAAGTAAATGGCCTGTACTACTTTGTGCCTTCAGTGTCATCTACACAACATTGCAATCCAGCCATCTATCACATGGATTCAACTACCAAAATTCCATGGCACCAACGGTTAGGACATCCCTCGAGAGCACCTTCACAGTTTTTGAGTCATGTTATTCCATCTATTGCATTTGATCCTAAACACTCTTGCGAGACTTGTCATTTAGCTAAAAAAACAAGACTACCTTTTCATTCTAGTTCTATTCAAACTTTACATTCATTTGATCTTATTCAATGTGATGTTTGGGGACCCCTTCATGTTGCAACTCATACAGGAGCTCAATATTTTTAACTATCGTTGATGATTATACTCGATTCACGTGGATATTCTTAATGAAGTTTAAATCTGAAACGCAAAGGTTACTAAAAACCTTCATCTATTTTGTTAATACTTAGTTTAATTGTCAAATTAAATGTATTCGAAGCAATAATGGCTCAAAATTCATATCCATGAAGTCATATTTTTCCAATCTTGGCATTTTATTCCAAAGTTCCTGTCCATCTATACCTCAACAAAATTATGTAGTTGAACGAAAGCATCAACATCTTTTAAACGTTTGTAAGGCCTTAGGAATTGATGCTAATCTACCATTACAATTTTAGGGGGAGAGCTTACTTACCGCAACCTATCTGATCAATCGTCTTCCCACCCACGTGCTACACTACAAATCTGTAAGTGTTATGTCCTAAGTCCAATCAACTTTGGACATAAACTCTCATAATATTTAATTGATACATTTCATTTAGGGAAAATTGCGGCCGTGGTCACAAACCTTTCATTATGTTGAAGATTACACAAAATT